CTCTCTCAGAGAGTCCTGAAAAACACAGCCATCCACAATGTACTATACAGGAAGTTCCAAATGTCTGAGTCCTGAGATAAATCCAATTTTGAACAGAAATCAGTCTAAATATCCTGTTTGTACACGATTTGCCCAATTAGTAATACACGTTAATGCAATGTTACATGTACATCTACTGACTAACACTTATTACTCATTCAGTTGGTACGCTCCATTGTGTGTTATTCGATATCATCCCTATTAATGGTGTGTATCTCTGATTCTGAGAAACAAAATGTGCGTGCTGACCCCTATGCCCTAAACACTAAACCCTACGCCATAAACATTAAAACCCTACACCCTAAACACTAAACCCTATGGCGTAAATACTAAGCCCTACGGCCTAAACTATAAACTCTACAGCTTAAACACTAAACCCTATACCCTAAACCCTACACCTTAGACATTAAACCCTACACACTAAACCCTAAACACTAAACTTTACACTATAAACACATGTTTAAAGTGTTACCTGAAGAATCCAGGGCCATTCTGATCCCATCAGCCCTGTGGAGGCTCAGCACCCTGTGCACAATGCGTTCAGCTTCCTGTCACATCAACAGAACATTTTATGCCCATGTCAACAGAACACCATGTACGATACACAGTGTAGACCTGGGGAATAAACGCAGCTCAGAAACACAAACACACACACACACAGAATCTCTCTCACTGTCCTACACACATTCCTTTCTTTTCCCAACAATCAAGAGAGTCATGCCTAACCTTAATGCACTCTGACTTCTGGCTTTTGACTTTGACCCTGAGCTGTTCAGTGGCCATGTGGAGTTTATACATCGCCGAGTCGATTCTAAGTGGATACACACACCCACACACACACACACACACACAGCATGTGGTTTAATAAGATTGCAGTAAAAGAAGATGCTCAACTGAACTGAGATACAAAAATACACACTTACTTCCTCATTAGAATCAACATTTCCTGCATATCCGTTTGCAGCTTCTACACACACACACACACACACACACACACACACACATAGATTTGGGAATTAAATGACTTGGATGATCCATGTGCATTTCCTGTTTTTTTCATGACTGGAAACTATAAGTATTGTATTGCAAGTACTGTAGATTGTGTGTGTGTGTGTGTGTGTGTGTGTGTGTGAGAGAGAGTCTTACTTTATTCTCAAGCTTCTGCTTTTCTCTGGTCCGTGTTAGAAACTTCATTCCGTTCTAAGAGACAGAATTAATGACAGAATAGAGTCAACTGAGGGACTATGAACCCTACACCCTAAACACTAAACCCTACACCCTAAACCCTACACCCTAAACCCTACACCCTAAACCCTAAACACTAAACCCTACACCCTAAACACTAAACCCTACACCCTAAACACTAAACCCTACACCCTAAACACTAAACCCTACACCCTAAACACTAAACCCTACACCCTAAACATTCAACCCTATGCACTAAACACTACACCCTATACCCTAAACCCTACACCCTAAACACTAAACCCTACACCCTAAACACTAAACCCTACACCCTAAACATTCAACCCTACACCCTAAACACTAAACCCTACGTCCTAAACACTAAACCCTACACCCTAAACATTCAACCCTACGCACTAAACACTAAACCCTACACCCTAAACATTCAACCCTACGCACTAAACACTAACCCTATGCCCTAAACACTAAACCCTAAACACGAAACCCTATGCCCTAAACACTAAACCCTAAACACTAAACCCTACACCCTAAACACTGAACCCTACACCCTAAACATTCAACCCTACACCCTAAACACTAAACCTTACACCAAACACTAAGCCCTACACACTAAACAACAAACTCTTCACTAAACTCTTACCTCCATCTGTGTTTGTCTGTACCCGAACCACACACCTGAACGACAAGGACAACACATACACACACACCTTGCATTAACACCAACACACCAAGTGAGCTACAGTACATAACACTGTGTTCCTCTCTTTAGCACCACTGGATATTGTTGATAGCAGGCTGCTCTAAACCCAGCAGTGACAATCAAGTGTTTATAAAGCTGGTATCTGATGGAAGACAAACAGATGATGAATGTATGTACACACTCACCGAAAAGCAGCAGGAGCAGAACGGCGATCATCTTCATACACACAGTGCGTCTGAGGAGAGATGAAGGAACAGCACGGTCATGCAGAGCACACACATACACACACACACACACACAGTGAGTCATGAAGATGAACATACTTTCTAATACACATTTTAATCAAATGAATAATAACAAGTCAAAAACAGAGCTAAGGACTACAGTTAAGTGACATCCAGTCCTCCAAACAACCACTCACAGTTTTTATGACATTCTTGTGTCTAATCTTGGACTTCACTAAACTAAACTTGTCTAAACTGTGACTGTGATAGTTTTTTAATAAATGGGAACATTTTTTCCTAATAAATCTTAGTTTGTCCTAGCTAACTACAAGAGAAAAGCGATCCTGTAGCAGAGCTTCAGTGTAACCTTTAGAATGTAGGAATATTATTAATAACACAGTAACATACAGTATTTTCATGTTGAATAAATACGCAATGGATCCGACTTCTTAACTAGCTGTTTAAAGCCTTCCTTTTTCGCTAAACCTCGTCATTACGCCTGCGTTTCCTGCAGGAGGAGGGGCCACGTAGCCACCGCATTTTCTCAGGTTCCTAAGCATTCTCCTTATTTTCGACAATATTATTTTCATCACAAGTCATGATGAAGTGGCAATTATTAATATCAATATCACACACACACACACAGACTCACACACAGACTCACACACAGCTTACCTGCTGAGAAATAGAAAAAAAAGGCACATGATTCCAGACTTCATGCTGTGACACACACTGGCGAGGCAAGAAAGCATCGTCGCAATGGCACAGGCTAAACAAGTAAACAAACAAACAAACAAATAAATAACTAAACAATGAGTATATCATTTTCAGAGGTATTAATAAGAAACTTTAGCCAATCGTGTTAGGTGTGCTGTATGTATGAGAAAATGTATCAGTAGAGGATTTGAGATTTGTAAGAAAATTTAGATTGTTACTGTTTTCCCAACCAGATATTTAAACGCACTTTTTTGTGACACAGCTAGCTAGCTAGGTAATTTAGCTAGCTAGCATTCAGTTGGGTTAGCTTGCTAATGTAGCTTGTTAGCTACAGGCTAAAAACTTTACAATTTCTCATTTTCACTGCACACTCACTCACACACACACACACACACAAGCCCCGCCACAAATCTGGATACACAGTAGCTAGCCAAACCAGCCAAACGTCCTCACAAAGTCAACATTGTCATATATTTCCATCACTTTGG